CCAAATAACAATATTACATTTCCAGGGATCTTTGTCAATGATGTTTGTAACCAAAGCAACAGACTTTGTACTTTGTTGGTGTAAATCAAAATTGAATGCAAAACGATTTGGTTCATTTAACACATTTGAATATTTAGTTTAAGAAAACTGCTTTTAATCTTAAAACATAGCAAAAATTTTGTATTTCGTTTGTATCATCACCATTGAGACTGCATCTGTTCAACATTTTAATTGAACACCTTACAAGTTCTTGCTAAAATGATGCAGTCATCAAATTATTGACATTAATTAACATGTTGTCACGTGACAAAGTAGACAGGTGCTTAGTTAACACTGGTGTGTGGTTTTTATCAAAGTGAGTAGAATACACAGAAAGACATAAATCAGCTAAACATGAATCAACATGTAAATCTGTGCTTTTCATTTGGTTTTAAAAGTCATAGTTTCCTCAAACCATCAAGAAAGAATTATTATCCCATTTCATTTACATGAATTTCTTAACATTTAGGAGATAAAATCTTGTACTAACATTCTGTATTGGTGATGCAGGAAAAATGCAAATGTTCCATTGATTTCTTTATCAAATTTCTAAGGCCTTTTCAAAACAAAGCTTCTATTGCATGAATGAATACTTTTAATGGAACTTTTCTTTTAGGTGAAATGCACAAACAGTAATAGCCTTTGATGGAACTTGGTGATTATTAACTTTGTTGTTATTATAAAATAAAGTTTTTGCAAAAAATGTGTTAAACATCATTTAGCCTGTTGTGAAAATATGTTCTCAACATTGAACTATAGAAAAGATTTTTGATAACAAAATGTTTTTAACATTAAGGAGTATGTTTGATGATATGTTATAGTTATTAAAGTTAAATATTGTTAAAAGGTTTACGTGCAAATTAGTAAAATTTTAAGTTGATGAAAATGTTTGAACTCAATTCTTACATTTGGGCTGTTTAGAAAACAGTTCATTTTGTTATTGCAAATTTATTCAATATTTTTAAATGTAAGTTCAACAAGAACCCAATTTCCAACATCCAACCCAAGTAAAGATATTAATAATCAGATGACGTTTGAAAATATTCTTGTTCTCCTCAAGGCGGTTTGGGACAATCACAATAACAAGGCCTGTACAATAAATGCTTTGCAAGCCCAAAGGTTTGTTCGTTAAGTACCTGGATGAAAATCATTCCTGTAATCGTCCACCATCTTCTTACCATGCCATCCATTTGTTCAATGGTTTATTCTGACAAATGCCATTCCTCGTGATTTTTATCCTCAAGGTCATTATAACCGCTGACCAGAACGTCTATTGTGTCTCGCAGGCACTACAATATTAAATTGCTGCTTTACATGCTGACATGGATTTTTAAGTTCATTAAAGTTTCGTTTATTCAAAACCGATTTGAAAATGCAACAAAGGACAAATACTTGCCAAGGGCCAGTCTCTCTCTAGTTGCTAATCTCCGCCCACCCCACTGCAATCTGCTTCCAATAGTGACGAATCTCTCTCCCTTATAGAAGCCTCAATACCTAGGTTTATTGAGTTCCTCCTAAATGTTTGAATGATAAAATTCTGCGACAATTTGCGTTCCTTTGCCATGTCGCAGAAGTAATGTTTAGAACAGACAAGCCTGATTTAAAGGAAATTTGCTCATTATCACTTATTTATTAGCGGATCTAAGCTGTTATGAATAGCGCTTACAAGATGCTTTATAATAGACGAGAAAAATATAAATTTTGGAACTGAAACTGAATGTGATTTTGAGAAACGTGTGAAGATGTTTATAGATAGTCACAAAAGATTTCATGCGGTTTTCATGGCTTACGAACATAAATTAAAACTGCTTGCTGTTCATATACCTTTTTAGAACAATGTCAATTTATGGTTTACTGATTGAGAAAGAGAGATCTGTAAGGCTACTAATAACTTGCGGTTTATCTTGCATAAATAGGAATGAACAACTACAATTTCAAAAGTATAGTTTTTCACAGACGGTTTTTTTATTGTGAAATATTCTGTCTTATGCGAAAAGTTGTCCATCTACAACAAAATTCGCGGTAAAAGAGATTAACCACATATCAATGCTTTATAAAAAGTCAACTTGGAAGATTAGAGAAAGCTGTTAAGGCATGGCACGGACCGAAAATTTTAAATTTTTCTTATGAATTTAAACTAGTGTAATGAGTATGAATGAATTTGATTGGTTTTGCAATAAATCTAAATTGACGTTGCACAGTTTTGCAGCAACCCCATGGTGGCTGATTCTTTTGTCTATATTACATGTGTTTTATAATAAAGTGATAAGTGTCGTTGTCTCTACAGTTCGCATCATATCTATGTAAATTAAAGTAAATTTGGACTGTGAGATAATGACTTCCCACATGTCTCATTTTGCTTGCTTTGAACATAACACTTTTTATATTTAGTTTGATGAAGCAGCCATTGGCAATGAACTTTAACATGCAATTGGCATAGAAAGCGATCCGTTTTCAAACTGTGAATTTGCTAGTTTATGGAAAGTATTGGTGGTTTTCATATGCGTCAATGCTGATGGACTCACTACAAATAATATCATTGGATTCCCTTTGCTATTAGGCGACATGGTGGATGCCCTTTCTTTGTTTGTTATTCCCTTAAGACACACATGATAACCAAAATTGCTGTTTTCAAAATTATAATTAATGTTTGCCTGATGAGATGAAGACAAGAAAACCCTGCAGCTTTGGCAGAAAAACGTGTAAATAAATTTGGAATGTGAGATATATTGACGTCGGACATTTCTCGTTTTGCTTCCTTTAACAATACTATTTATATTTCGCCAAGGTCACAATTCGTTTGTTGAAGTTTGGTGAAGAAGCCATTTTCAATGAAGTTGAAAGCGATGTGGTAAGTTTATATTATTTTTCTATATCTTTAGATGATTCTTGGCTCGATGTTTTTCTTCAATCATATTTAGCAGATATAATCACCAACAACTTGATTTTCACGCTTGCTAGCGTCAGGAATACGTCTAAAAAGATATTGTGATAAAAGTCATCTCATAAAAATCTATTGTATTTAATTATTGGTACTTAGGTATGTGAAATGTAATCTTTGTTATAAACACTATAGTTTTTGAGTGTGACTGCATGAAATATAGTAATTTGCCAGCTAATTGTGTAATTATAGTATTTATGAGTTAGATGCAGGAAGTATAGTGTTAGTGAGATAGGTGGATTCATTATAATATTTGTGATTTGGGGCATAGACTATAACAGTCAGGAGTTATGTTCATGAACTCTAGTCTTATTGTGTTAAGTGCAGAACTTTAGCCTTTGAGAGTCAATGTAATATAATATGAAGAAATGCATGAATTTCATGACAAATTAAATTTGCTGATGCATTGTTACTTTGCATGTCATTATTTCATATTTTCTCATATTGTAGATCCCACATGGATGGAGTTGTGAAAGTCCCTTTACCACCTCTGTCATTAACTTCAATTACTCTTACTAGTTTTTCGTTGCTCGTGTGTCATGGTGATTCATGGCCAAGAATGTTTGTTTGTAAACAGATTCTTTGTGGATGTCAGTTGTTTGTTAATAACAAAGAAAGGGCCCCATTATTATATAGCCCACCTGAAGGTGGTCAACTGATACTCACAGAAGATCAACTCTGCACTAAACATTCTTTATGTGATGATATCTTTGTTATTGAAGTGGTCCCTTTCTTTTGCTCAAAGTTGGTATATAAAAGGAATGGTAGCTACAAAGAAATATAAAAGTTTGGTTATAGCCGACATCATCAATAGAAAAGGTTTTGTGATAAATGATTATATGCCCCTTGATTTATCTCTATTGTTCTTGTTAAAGTCTCAATGGTTTTTATTGATGGTACTGATTTGTGGTTTGTTTATTGAATGGCACATTTATGCCGTTAATTGCATAGAGGTACAGATTATTCAGATTGTGGTGTAGGTGTAGACCTGCAATAAATACGACCTGCGACTTCTTGTCACGTGTCCTAAACCTTTGATCGCTGCGGTAAACGGTCCAATAGCTGGATTTGGTCTTTCCCTTCTCGCATTGTGCAATATAGTCTTTGCTTCAGAAAAGGTAATTGTATTGAGTTTATAAAATTACTCATCCTAGCTGGTCTGACTTCATCTGTGTTTTCAACTGTTTAATATCAGATCTTATGTTTAATGTGAAAAATAGTGATTGTCTTTTACTGCTCAAGAGTTTTTGCGCATACCGTCACGTCACTAACATTTTAAGTCATTTTGAAGCCATGTGGAAAAAGAGGAATTGATATAATTTTTAAAACAGCGAACTTTCTTGAATATCATATGTCAAATATTTATTGAGTCGTTTTTGATTGGTCAATTTACTTCGCCAATGAATGCAATAAACACGTCAATAATACATTCAGACGAAAATCCCAAAGTGAAAAATTTATGTGATGTTAAACCTCGAAGGGTTCAGTTTCCTTTACACTTATTAATATAATAGTGCTTTGTTCACCCCTAGTTACTCCTCATTAGAACATTACATAATTTTTATTTCAGTTGACATGTTCGTGGTGTTTTTTTAAATGCAAGTTTTCAAACGAAGTTTGTGGAGTGGGGTCATCCTCTAGTTGGATGTTGCTCTAAATTTACCTCATTTATTTGGTCATTTCACATGGTACACGTGACTTGTTTATATTAAACGGAGGCCAGAGCACTAGGTCATATTTTGCCATATTATGTATTTAAGTTGTATCCTCGCCCTATTGATCACTTTATATAAACATTAAATTGTTTTCTTTTCTTGAACCTGATAGGATGTGTTATGTTCTGAGGTGTTAAAAATTAACTGTGAGGTTGAAAAGTAATTAAAACTACGAATAGCTTTATCTAAGTTCCCCAAATTCTTTACTCCTATCCTACCCGCTCTCCTCCTAAAATAGTGTATCGTGAACATAATTGTTTTTTATGAACTGAGATGCTTTAATAAAATTTTCATTTTGTCTAACGGTGAATTTCCTTTAAATCAGGCCTTGTCTGTTATTCTATGCAGCACGAAACTCGACTGCGACATGGCAAAGGAACGCGGAATTGTCGCAGAAATTTTATCTTTCAAACATTTCGAGTAGGAACTCAATTCACGTTTGGCAAGATTTTCACTAGTTTCTAGACAGGTTTGTCTGTCTATTTTTACGAGGGAGAGGGATTATGGGCACTATTAGAAAGCAGAAGGAGAGGGGTTGACGGAGCTTAGCAACTAGAGGGAGAGGAACTGAACACGGGACCTTTCAAAATGCAATAAATTTCTATTGTTATTCATGGACGTTCACGTCGCAGATGATGAAAACATTTACAGTTTCAAACTTTTAAAAAATCCATGTCAGAAAATAGTAAAGCAGCATATTTAATATTGTAGTGCCTGCGAGACACAAAGACGTTGATAGTCAGCGGTAATATACATGAACTTGAGGATAAAAATCACGTGGAATGCGATTTGATTCAAAAGTACATCAGCAACGAGGATATTTTGGATGGCATCGTAAGAAGATGGTGGACGAGCTTACAGGAATGACTTACCATCCAGGTATACTTGCGATCAGACTTTTGGCGCTTGCTAATATTTATTTTACAAATAGGATATTGTGTCCCAATGATTCGTTTGTAACCTTTACGCAACAGAATTTGTAGCGTTGTTGGTGTAAATCATTTGTAACTTGAGTTGAATAACAAAACATATTCGTTCATTTAACCACGATTTTTAAAATCTTTACTTTGGAGGAAAAAATTGCGTTTTTAATCAAGTTCCAAAACATAGCAAAAAAATTTTTGCTGGAAAATTTCGAACACTCGTGCTGTATGGTCCAAGTCGTTGAGACTTCAGTGTTTACTGTTGGCGTAACGGACTTCTTATTCGCAATAACCTTATTTTCTTGCTCATTTGTTGAAAAATGATGCAGTTGTTTAAAAATAAGAGTCATTGATTAACAAATTGTCTCGTGACATCAAGTAGATGTCACGTAGATGTTTGCGCAGGTGCTTTTGTACGCTTAACACTTCGGTGTAAATGGTTTTTTATCAAGGTGAAAAGAATACACAGAAAGAAAATAAATCGAATATTTCATAAACATGAATGAACTTAATGACTTAATGTTTCAACTGTATTTTTGATTTGCGTTGTAAAAAAGTCATCACTGCTTGGGCGCATTCCTCCGAAAGCCATCTTTGAGCAAGGAGTTCGCATTTTTTATTATTCGCATCGGGAAGTTTCTCCAGCTCAGCTGAGCGACATAATTTCTTGGACAGTGAGAGGGACTGCAATGGAGAGAAGCATTTTATGGTGAAATGAAACCAAGCAATAACTGTAAAGTCCAGATTTGTGCTACCTTTCTTGGCAACGCAGCCATGTATTTCATTCTGTTGTTAATTTCTTTTTTAATGGTGTTTAATGGTTTTCAATGGAAAATGTGTTCAAATGCATGAAATATAGCCATTTGATGAAAATAGGAAACTATGATATAACTCATTTTCAGGGGGGTGGACTCGATTTTTTAGTAAAAGTTCTTTTTGATAAGGAAAATGTGTTCAAATGCATTAATTATAGTGTTTTGATGAAAGTATGAAAATATGATGAAATTCATTTTGGGGGTGGTGGACACGATCTATTTGTAAAAGTTCTTTTTGATGTGAAAAATGTGCTCAAATGCATAAATTATAGTGTTTTCTAGAAAATTTTTAAATATGATAAAATTCGTTTTCAGGGGGAGTGGAATTCCTATTTTTGTAAAAGTTCATTTTGTAGTGGAAAATCTGTTCAAATGTATGAATTATAGTCTTTTAATGAAAGTATGAAAATTTGATAAAATTCATTTTCAGGGGGGATGGAATTCTTATTTTTGTAATAGTTCTTTTTGATGTGTTTTAAAAAATACCTATAAAAGTTCAAAATATTTTAATAACAATAAATCATGAATTGTGGACAGTTTTACGAAAAATGTAAGACTAGAATTTTTTCTGAAATTGCTTGGTATTTTTGTAAAATTTGTTTTTGGTTTGGAAAATCTGTTCAAATGCATAAATTATAGTGTTTTGAAGAAAATTTTGAAATATGATTAATTTCATTATCAGGGGGGGTGGAATTCCCTTTTTCTAAAAAGTTCTTTTTGTTGTGGAAAATATGTTCACATGCATAAATTATAGTCTTTTAATGAAAATTATAAAATAGGATAAATTTCCATTTCAAGGGGGGAGGAATTCCTATTTTTGTAAAAGTTCTTTTTGATGTGAAAAATGTGCTCAAATGCATAAATTATAATGATATGTTATTAGATTATTTAATAATGTTATTAGATCATTTTGTAATAATTTTACTTATTTTAAAAACAACTGAATTTTTATAATAAAATGCTAGCTTTTAAACCTTTTTTATCCTTTTTATTGTAAATTTCTTAAAACCGAGCAATTTGAGAAAAAATTCTAGTCTTACATTTTTCGTAAAATTGTGTACAAGTCCTGATTTATTGTTATTAAAATATTTTGAACTTTTATAGGTGATTTTTAAGACACATCAAAAAGAACTTTTACAATAATAGAAATTCCACCACCCCAGAAAATGAATAATATCATATTTCAAAATTTTCATCAGAACATAATTTATACATTACATATTACCATCAAAAACAAAATAGACATTCCACCAAAATGAATTTTATCATATTTCAAAATTTTCATCAAAGAGCTATAATTTATGCATTTTAACACATTTAAACAACAAAAGAACTTTGAAAATAATTCCACCCCCATAATGAATTTATCATATTTCAAAATTTTCAACAAACACTATAATTCATGAACAGATATTCCAACAAAAAACACTTTACGAAAATAAATTCCCCTGAAAAATTTTATCATATTTTAAAATTTTCCTGAAAACACTATAATTTATGCATTTGAACACATTTTCCACATCAAAAAGTTTACAAAATCAATGTCCACCCACCTGGACATGAAATTTTTATATTTTCATCAAAAGACTACAATTCATGCTTTTGAAGACATTTTCCACATCAAAAAGAACTTTCTAAAAATAAGGATTCCACCCCCCTGAAAACGAATTTTATCATATTTCAAAATTTTCATCAAAAGACCATAATTTATGCATTTGAACACATTTTAAACAACAAAAAGAACTTTTTAGAAAATGGAATTCACCTATAATAAATTTATCATATTTCAAAATTTTCAACAAAACACTATAATTTATGCATTTGAACAGATATTCCACAACAAAAAGTCTTTACGAAAATAAAATTCCCCCCAAAAAAATGAATTTTATCATATTTTAAAATTTTCCTGAAAACACTATAATTTATGCATTTGAACACATTTTCCACATCAAAAAAAGTTTTACAAAAAAATCGTGTCCACCCCACCTGGACATGAAATTTTTATATTTTCATCAAAAGACTACAATTCATGCTTTTGAAGACATTTTCCACATCAAAAAGAACTTTCTAAAACAAAGAGTTCACCCCTGAAACAGATTTTATCATATTTCAAAATTTTCATCAAAAGACCATAATTTATGCATTTGAACACATTTTAAACAACAAAAAGAACTTTTTAGAAAATGGGAATTCCACCCCCCCTTATAATGAAATTTATCATATTTCAAAATTTTCATCAAAACACTATAATTTATGCATTTGAACAGGTTTTCCAAACCAAAAACACTTTTACAAAAATACCGAGCAATTTCAGAAAAAAATTCTAGTCTTACATTTTTCGTAAAATTGTGCACAGTTTATGATTTATTGTTTTAAAATATTTTGAACTTTTATAGGTATTTTTTAAGACTTATCAAAAAGAACTTTTACGAAAATAAGAAGTCTACCCCCCTGAAAATGAATTTTATCATATTTCAAAATTTTCATCAAAAGACTACAAATCATGCATTTGAACACATTTTCCACAACAAAAAGAACTTTTACAAAAATAGTAATTCCACCCCCTGAAAACGAGTTTTATCATATTTAAAAATTTTCATGAAAAAACTATAATTTATGCATCTGAACATATTTTCCACAACAAAAAAAACTTTTTAGAAAATGGGAATTCCACCCCTTCCTGATAATGAAATTTATCATATTTATAATTTTCATCAAAACACTATAATTTATACATTTGAACACATTTTCCAAACCAATAACAACTTTTACAAAAATACCGAGCAATTTCAGAAAAAATTCTAGTCTTACATTTTTCGTAAAATTGTGCACAATTCATGACGTATTAAAGTAAATGGTTTGAGCCCGGGAGTATCGTTATATGTTTGTAAATGATGATCGTCCAGGTTAATAAAGTCCTGAGAAGGACTGTTTTTGATGTTGTTGACTGACGTTTCGACAACCTTAGCGGTAGTCATCTTCAGAGTCAAATGAGGAGTAAACGTCAGGTTAGCCGTATTTTTTGTTTTGTTCTTACGTCATTGTATTGTGTGTACAGGAAATGTGCAGGAAATGTGTATTGTCATTGTGGATTAGTGTGAAGTGAAATATTTTATTTTTAGTTGTGATGTGTGATTTAGGTGTGACGTTTTTAGTTGTAGTGTTAGGGTGTCAATTGTGTATTGTCATTGTGAATTAGTTTGAAGTGTAATGTTTTTAGTTGATCGTTTGTTTGTATTGTGAATAAGTCGTTTGTAAGGTGCCGGTAATTGCTGTGATCTGTTCAGGGGGGTTTGTTCCAAGTTGGTATACCAACTTTCTAATGTAAGCCGTTTTCTATAGTCAGTACTGTAAGTGATGCATTTTGCCGAGTCCCAGTCAATGTTGTGCTTTGTGATTCGGTGATGTCCACTTTACAATCGTCCTCTATACGTGACAACAACTTGACAAAAGACGAACAACAAGCACTCAAACGACTAAAACACGACAACAACATCGTCATTTTACCAGCAGACAAAGGACGCGTGACCGTGGTCATGGACAGGAATGATTACTTTAACAAAATGGACGCACTTGTTAACGACAGACAAACGTACGAACAACTCAAACGAGACCCAACACCATAACTAGTACGCAAACTTAACAGCAAGATCTTCTCTATGAGAAAATCTAACATTATATCTGAACGTATTTACTATCGACTCAGATGTTCAGTACCGACCACCCAGACTATACGGACTACAAAACTTCACAAACCACAAATACCATGCGACCAATTGTATCATTCTGTGGTTCGCCTACTGAACTTTCAAAGTGCTTGACTAACATACTGCAACCCACAAACAAATCAAAACACAAGCTACAATCCACTGAAACTTTCATTAAAAACTGTGCACTATACAAATACCAGACAACTATACTGTGTCTTTTGATGTGAAATCACTGTTCACCAGTATTCCACTTAATCTGGCACTTACTTGTACAAAAACCCTCATTACAAACACCACGGACGTACTGCCATTACCGACAGAAGACATTATGGAGTTACTAGAGCTCTGCCTCACCTCGACTTACTTCCAATACAAAGGAACACAAAGGAACACACATTGCATTTCAACACATTTTCCGATTAAAAAAAAACTTTTACAGAAATGTGGCTTCCACCCCCCTTGAAAATGAATAATATCATATTTCCATATTTTAATCAAATGACTATAATTCATACATTTGAGCACATTTTCCTTAAAAAGAAGAAATTTTACAAAAATATGGATTCCACACCCCCTGAAAATGAATTTTATAATAT